ACTGTGCTTTCTACTCAGTTACTTTGCACATGCATAAAGAGGCTCTTGTACGACAAATCCAAAAGGCGTGATCTCAACAATAGGTGGCAGTTACTTTTCCCCAAAACCACAGGTTGCCGACGAGTCATTCCTCAAGCCCACTAGGCCCTACACCGTTTTCTAATCTCCCTTATTTAAAACAGCTCAATTAAGTCATCGGCTTTATTGTAGAGTACCCCTAGTATCTGAGCCTGCACTGCGCAATGAAAGAAAGAAGCAAAACGGGATGGACAGATGCCTAAAATGTTAGAAACGCACCACACCTTAAGTCAGTGAAGAAAAAGTGCAAAGCTTGCGACTCCGGTGGGACTCGAACCCACAACCTTTGAATGGCTCAGCTCACAACCTAGAAGTCCAATGCGCTATCCATTGCGCCACAGAGCCTAAGTGCTCTGCTTCCTCTAGAACTGTTGGACAGAAAGCACTTTTTAGTACTCTCTGGCCCATGAATGAACAGCCTACTGCGGACAAGGCACTGCTGGAATTCAAAGCCAGGATCTCCTGTTTATTAGACAGGCACTTTGACCAACTGAGCCACAGCGCCAAATGACCTTGATACTGGCTAAATGTTTAATTCCAAAAAAAAAAAAAAAAACTAACAACGGTAGCGCTGCATGTGGGAATGTCTGGACTTGAAATATTAAAGTCCAATTGGTTAGGCATTACCACACTATGCTATATAAAGGCATCGTCCAAAGCCCTCTTGAACGAGCAGCGTTCTTAAGGATTTGAGTTTTGTTAAGAAACCGACTGCTAAACATCCCGCTGCGTAAACACTCGTTACTCTTAACAAAAGCAAACACGAAACCTGTACTTAAGGCACTGCTGGGATTTGAACCCAGGATCTCCTGTTTACTAGACAGGCGCTTTGACCAACTAAGCCACAGCGCCAACGCTGAATAGGAGGCAAGACGTTTTTGCACACAGAGACTAAAAAAAAGACAGCAAGTCTTGGGGGCTTCCGGTTCCGGTTAACATGTGAAGACAGCGCGGTCTCAGTCTCCTGCAGCAATACTCTTAAAAAGTTACTTTTTCTCTGGAACCTCAAACAGATTCTAACTTAAACTGTCAAAAGTTAAACCTTAAACAGCTAATGAGATGTCGAAAACCACCAAGGCATCAAAAAAGACTGAAATTGACGCTGCTTCAGCGGACAACGTTACACTGGCTAACATTGCTACTTTGCTTGAAGACCAAAGAGTTAGCATCGCAGCTGACTTCAAGACTTCACTCGCGGCTTTAGAATCAAGACTCGACAAAATACAAACAACCATAACAGAGCAGGGTCAACGAATAAACTCATTGGAAGCCAACGCTGAGTTGCAAGACCAGAGAATTCAAGCGCTGGAGGAGAAATGTGAAGTATTGACGAGCAGTAATGCTAAGCTAATAGCAAAAACGGTCGATCTGGAAAGCCGCAGCCGCAGAAACAATATAAGGATAGTAGGGTTACCTGAAGCAGTTGAAGGACCCAGACCCACAACTTTTTTCGCCGAACTCCTGGTCGAGGTTTTCGGCGATCAAACACTTCAATCCCCTCCGGAGCTGGACCGAGCACATAGAACTCTCGCTGCTAAGCCACAACCCGGCGCGCGGCCCAGACCGGTAATTATTCGTCTTCATCGCTACCAAACCAAAGATCTGATTATCCGTGAAGCCCGCAAGAGACGCGGGAAATTACAGTACCGCGGAACGTCTATCCAGATTTTCGAGGACTACACACCAGAAGTGGCGGAGAAACGCGCTAAGTACAGAACAGTGATGGCCGAACTTTATAATCTCACCTGCAGACCTGCGCTTCTATTCCCGGCTCGCTTACAGATCACCCTAGAAAACGGGACGAAAAAGAGGTTTTCCTCTCCGGAGGAAGCTGCGATTTTTGCGGCTAACTTTAAGAAAACAACAAGACCCGAGTAATTTACTAGTTTGCATAATCGTGGCCAACGCGAAGCACAGACTCTAAATATACTGTTATAATACGTTTAAGGTTTACATTTATTACAATAGGGGTTCACACTAAGATAATTAAGCTGTAAAGAGTTGAGACTAATGAGGAAAAAGAAGAAAGATGACAAAGAAAGGGAAGTATGATTATTTTGGTTTGCTTTCATATTTTACTATGATTGTATTGTTCCTGTATGTGTTATACTGTTCTGTTTTTATACAGATTGCTTTATATACTTTATTTTGCTACCTGCTTCTTGAGACTGACCAGACGACTTTACGGTTATGTGCTGAACCATGGCAAGAGTAGCTGATGGGGGTGTGTCCGGGGGACAGAATGTGAAGATTATTTCCCTAAATACTGGTGGGCTGAATGCTACAATTAAACGTACAAAAATTATGACACACTTAAAAAGTTTAAATGCAGACATTATGTTTCTCCAAGAGACACACTTATGTAATTCTGACCATAAAAAACTAAACCGGCCATGGATCGGACAGATCTTTCATTCACAATTTAATGTAAAAACAAGGGGTACAGCTATATTAATTCGGAAAAATGTAAATTTTATTTTAGATAAAACTAAGATAGATCCAAACGGTCGTTATGCTATAGTTACTGGGACACTATATGAAAAACCTGTAATATTAATATCTGTTTATGCTCCCAACTGGGACGATCATAACTTTATGTGCTCGCTATTTACTAATATTCCAAATTTAGAGACTCATCAATTAATAATGGGAGGTGATATGAACTGTGTTGTGGACCCTGTACTGGATAGATCTAGCTCGTGATTAACTTCACCTACGAAAATGTCACAAGCTCTATCGGTATTTATGGATCAATACGGATTTGTTGATCCCTGGAGATTTTTATATCCCTCCACAAGACAATATTCCTTTTTCTCTCATGCACACCGTTCATTTTCGCGCATAGACTATTTTCTTATAGATAAAAATTTGATCTCAGCGACCACCTCGGTTCAGTACCTACCCATAACGGTGTCAGATCATGCCACAGTGGTGTTGGATCTTCATTTCAAGACCAAACCAAAAGAATTCAGACACTGGAGGCTTAACCCTGTATTATTGGCTGATACAAAATTTTGTAAATATATTTCTGAATCAATTACTTTCTTTTGCGAAACTAATAAACCCGATGATACTTCCCCATCTATATTTTGGGACACGCTTAAGGCTTACATAAGGGGTAAAATCATCTCTTTTACAGCTCACTCAAATAAGTTACAGAGAACCCGCCAAAAAGAATTAGAGAAAGCCATTGAAGATTTAGACAAATCACTATCTTTTATGAATGTGCCAAATCTATATAAAGAGAGAATGAAACTTCAAACAGAGCTTGATCTCATATTAACCAGTGAGGCTGAACAACTACTCCTGCGCTCTCGAGGACTAGTATACGAACATGGGGACAAAGCTGGACGTCTGTTGGCACACCAGCTCAAAGTAAAAAATGCAACAAATCAGATTACACGGATAACAGATGAAACTGGCTCTGTAACTTCTGATCCAGTCCAAATAAATAGTACATTTAAATCTTTTTTCTCACATCTGTATACTTCAGACCCCCTTAGTTATGACGAAAATCAATTAAATATTTTTTTTCAAAACTTAGATTTACCCCAGGTCTCTTCTAGTGACAATCTCAGACTAGACAACCCCATTACACTTTCAGAAATAAAAGAAGCAATAAAATCAATGAATAATGGCAAATCCCCAGGCCCTGACGGATACCCAGTTGAATTCTTCAAAAAGTTTTCAGATGAATTGGCTCCATTACTACTTTGAATGTTTAATCATGCATACGAACAGGGCACTTTACCCCCCACTCTTACAAAGACCTCTATTTCTTTAATTCATAAAAAAGATAAAGACCCGTTGAACTGCGCATCATATCGCCCGATATCCCTGCTCCCTGTTGATGTTAAAATTCTGGCAAAAATACTAGCGCGGAGATTAGAATCTATTATGCCACTGATTATTTGCGATGATCAGACGGGGTTCATAAAAGGGAGGCATTCCTATTCTAACATTAGACGACTGCTGGATGTCATCCTTACCCCATCATCCTCAGATAGCCCAGAGATTGTTATATCCCTTGACGCGGAAAAGGCCTTTGATCGGGTGGAGTGGGCCTATCTTTTCTTTTCCCTAAAACAATTTGGCTTTAGCAATAACTTTATTTCATGGATCAAATTACTTTATTCTTCTCCCAGTGCTTCAGTATGCACAAATAATCAACGCTCTACACCATTCCCACTTTTTCGGGGTACACGACAGGGGTGCCCACTTTCCCCATTACTATTCGCGCTCGCAATCGAACCATTATCAGCTGCTTTGAAAAAAGAAATAGGTTTCAAGGGAATTACGAGATGGGGAGTGGAGCACCGAGTTTCTCTGTATGCTGATGACCTGCTTTTATACATAAGAGATCCCCTAGTAAGTATTCCAAATATCCTGATCCAATTAAACTTGTTTAGTAAACTATCCGGGTATAAATTAAATATCTCTAAAAGTGAATATCTTCCTATCAATGAATTGGCTGTAAATATACCATCGTCTCTTATACCTTTTAAAATGTCTGAAAAAGAGATCAAGTACCTTGGTATTGCAATCACTAAGTCAACACGAACAATGCGAGAACGAAATCTTGATTCATTAACAGCAAAAGTCAAATTAGATTTACAAAGATGGAGTCACTTGCCGCTGTATTTAGCAGGCAGAATACAAATTATCAAAATGAATGTGCTACCAAGGTATTTATATGTATTTCAGTGCCTGCCCATATTCCTTCCTAAATCCTTTTTTAGATCTATAAATGTAATTATTTCATCATTTATCTGGGCTGGTAAAAGACCACGTACAAACAGAATATCGCTATGCAGAAGCAGACTGGCAGGTGGACTAGGTCTACCTAACTTTATAAGTTACTATTGGGCAGCTAATGTTGATAAAATAATATCTTGGTTCACCTCCCCTCAAACTGGTTGGAGTCAAATGGAGTCAGCCTCTTGTTCTTCTTCATTGAGAGCTTTAGCCTGTAATACTTTACCCTTTTCCCCAGGAAGCTTTACCACCAACCCTGTAGTCATCGGAACTTTAAAAATCTGGGCGCAAATAAGACGCCACTTTGGCTGGCTTACCCTCCCATTATCAACTCCAATTTGCAATAATCATTTGTTTATACCAGCTAAAAGTGACTCAAATTTTATCAGCTTAGAGAATAAGGGAATACGAGAGTTAGGAGACTTGTATATTGAAGATTTATTTGCAAGCTTCAACCAACTGATTTCTAGATTTAGTTTAAACAGATCAGACTTTTTCCGATACTTCCAACTACGCGATTTTGCAAGAACACACACAACTTCATTCCCACACATCCCAACACCTAGTGGGATAGACTTGATCATTAAAGCCAAAAACTTGACAAGAGGCCGTATTTCATATTTATATAATCTACTCTCTCCAGCTAACGAATCTATCCTGAATAAAATTAAGATGGATTGGGAATCAGAACTTCAATTAAATCTCTCTGACAAATTCTGGGAGGAGGCCTTAAACGCTGTAAATTCATCTTCTAGTTGTGCCAGATTATCACTCATACAATTTAAGGTCCTCCACAGACTACATTATAGGAAGGAGAAACTCTCAAAGCTCTATCCAGACAAATTAGATAATAAATGTAATAGGTGCTCACAGACCCCATGTAACCTCACTCATATGTTCTGGTCGTGCCCTAAATTGTCTGAATTCTGGCGGTTATTTTTCAAGGCAATCTCGGATATCTTGGACATTAATCTAAACCCAAAACCTCACATCGCTATTTTTGGAAAACCCCCAGATGATCTTCATGTCACAAACATTCAAAATAATGTCATCGCCTTTTCCTCCCTTGTTGCTCGCAAAAGAATTCTTTTAATGTGGAAATCGAAACAACCACCCTCAATCAAAGTTTGGTTACACGACATCCTAAGTCTTTTGAAATTGGAGAAGATTAAATTCTCTCTCAGAGGCTCGCCTCACAAGTTTTATATTCATTGGAGGCCACTACTAAATTATTTTGATGATTTAACGCCTCTGGAGGTGATTATTTAAGAAATAATTTTATGGTCGGAATTACTATTATTATTATTTTTTTTTTTCTTTTAGTCTAGCATTTTTTCTCCGGAACTGTCATGCCCTAAACTAGACGCATTGGTTTAACCTCAGCACAACTAAAACCATAATAACCAAGAAGTAGGTAGCACATCATTATTATTGATGTAACTAGCTAATGTATTTATTTTGTTTCATTTATTTATTTATTTGAAAGCATTTATGACTGTATCTCAAATTGTAGTATTATCATTATTTTTGTTCTATTGTTAATATTTTATTTTTATTTATTTATTATTATTATTATTATTATTTTTATTATTAATTTTTTTTTTTTTTTTTTTTATTGCTCCGTCTTCTGTTATACGTTTTACAAGAAAAGTGGCTATGTGTTTGGATGGGTGGGATGGGTGGGGGGTTTTGGGGTTGAATGTTTACAAAAGTGTTCAAAAAAGAAAAGCAGAAATTGGACATTTGTATACAACGAATGCTTTCCACTTGTGTTCAATAAATAAAGTTTATAAAAAAAAAAAAAAGACAGCAAGTCTTAAAATGGCAAGCAAAGAGGTTGTTTAACTCTATTTGTCGCACTATTCATTATGCCTCAAAGCTATACAATTTTATAATTCATTCCGGTGAGCTCCATAAAACAAGCACACACACCACCTGGACTAAGGCGCTGCTGGGATTTGAGCCCAGGATCTCCTGTTTACAAGACAGGCGCTTTGACCAGCTAAGCCACAGCGCCACAGAAATTCACAGTAAGAGACATTTGCCCGATAACAAAAATCGAAGAAGAAAAAATAATACACAACAAAAACCAGCATGTCAGGATGCAGAAAATGCTGACAAGCCGGACGCGGTCCTTTAGAGTCTGGATGATCATGTCTCAAGCCTGACCATGTCATCCAAACCCAGAGTCAGCTCGGAAAATGGAAATCAGGACAAACATATGCTATCGGCCATTGAAAGAGTTTCAGATCAGAAAGCCACTCTCCCATAATCTGAGGGAAAGGTGCAGTTTGGATTTGAACCTAGCACCTGCTGTTCCCAAGACAGGTGCTCTGGCCAACTTAGTCTTAACACTAAAAGAAAAAACCTCTGGATACGATACTTCCAAACGCAGTTTCATCTAAGACAGTGGGGGGGAAGCAAAAATTACTGTGCTTTCTACTCAGTTACTTTGCACAAGCATAAAGAGGCTCTTGTACGACAAATCCAAAAGGCGTGATCTCAACAATAGGTGGCAGTTACTTTTCCCCAAAACCACAGGTTGCCGACGAGTCATTCCTCAAGCCCACTAGGCCCTACACCGTTTTCTAATCTCCCTTATTTAAAACAGCTCAATTAAGTCATCGGCTTTATTGTAGAGTACCCCTAGTATCTGAGCCTGCACTGCACAATGAAAGAAAGAAGCAAAACGGGATGGACAGATGCCTAAAATGTTAGAAACGCACCACACCTTAAGTCAGTGATGAAAAAGTGCAAAACTTGCGACTCGAACCCACAACCTTTGAATGGCTCAGCTTACAACCTAGAAGTCCAATGCACTATTCATTACGCCACAGAGCCTAAGTGCTCTGCTTCCTCTAGAACTGTTGGACAGAAAGCACTTTTTAGTACTCTCTGGCCTATGAATGAACAGCCAACTGCGGACAAGGCACTGCTGGAATTCAAAGCCAGGATCTCCTGTTTATTAGACAGGCACTTTGACCAACTGAGCCACAGCGCCAAACGACCTTGATACAGGCTAAATGTTTAATTCCAAAAAAAAAAAAAAAACTAACAACGGTAGCGCTGCATGTGGGAATGTCTGGACTTGAAATATTAAAGTCCAATTGGTTAGGCATTACCACACTATGCTATATAAAGGCATCGTCCAAAGCCCTCTTGAACGAGCAGCGTTCTTAAGGATTTGAGTTTTGTTAAGAAACCGACTGCTAAACATCCCGCTGCGTAAACACTCGTTACTCTTAACAAAAGCAAACACGAAACCTGTACATAAGGCACTGCTGGGATTTGAACCCAGGATCTCCTGTTTACTAGACAGGCACTTTGACCAACTAAGCCACAGCGCCAACGCTGAATAGTAGGCAAGATGTTTTTGCACACAGAGACTAAAAAAAGACAGCAAGTCTTAAAATGGCAAGCAAAGAGGTTGTTTAACTCTATTTGTCGCACTATTCATTATGCCTCAAAGCTATACAATTTTATAATTCATTCCGGTGAGCTCTATAAAACAAGCATACACACCACCTGGACTAAGGCGCTGCTGGGATTTGAGCCCAGGATCTCCTGTTTACAAGACAGGCGCTTTGACCAGCTAAGCCACAGCGCCACAGAAATTCACAGTAAGAGACATTTGCCCGATAACAAAAATCGAAGAAGAAAAAATAATACACAACAAAAACCAGCATGTCAGGATGCAGAAAATGCTGACAAGCCGGACGCGGTCCTTTAGAGTCTGGATGATCATGTCTCAAGCCTGACCATGTCATCCAAACCCAGAGTCAGCTCGGAAAATGGAAATCAGGACAAACATATGCTATCGGCCATTGAAAGAGTTTCAGATCAGAAAGCCACTCTCCCATAATCTGAGGGAAAGGTGCAGTTTGGATTTGAACCTAGCACCTGCTGTTCCCAAGACAGGTGCTCTGGCCAACTTAGTCTTAACACTAAAAGAAAAAACTTCTGGATACGATACTTCCAAACGCAGTTTCATCTAAGACAGTGGGGGGGAAAGTAAAAATTACTGTGCTTTCTACTCAGTTACTTTGCACATGCATAAAGAGGCTCTTGTACGACAAATCCAAAAGGCGTGATCTCAACAATAGGTGGCAGTTACTTTTCCCCAAAACCACAGGTTGCCGACGAGTCATTCCTCAAGCCCACTAGGCCCTACACCGTTTTCTAATCTCCCTTATTTAAAACAGCTCAATTAAGTCATCTGCTTTATTGTAGAGTACCCCTAGTATCTGAGCCTGCACTGCGCAATGAAAGAAAGAAGCAAAACGGGATGGACAGATGCCTAAAATGTTAGAAACGCACCACACCTTAAGTCAGTGAAGAAAAAGTGCAAAGCTTGCGACTCAACGCTGAATAGGAGGCAAGACGTTTTTGCACACAGAGACTAAAAAAAGACAGCAAGTCTTAAAATGGCAAGCAAAGAGGTTGTTTAACTCTATTTGTCACACTATTCATTACGCCTCAAAGCTATACAATTTTATAATTCATTCCGGTGAGCTCTATTTAACATTATTAATCTATCATTATTAATCATCTATGTAACATTAATTACAACAACACAATTATTATATGATTGTTATAGATGTTATATGACGTTGTTTGTTAAGATTAATGTTAGCCGACCAAGCACACTGTACAGTTTTACTACAAACATTTTAATGCAGTTATTATACATTACTTCACTTTATATTGTCATTTACTACCATAGTTACAATAATGCCCGTGCATTATTCTCACACATTAATCAATCACTTCACTAATAATAAATATAAGGATCAATTCATCAGTCATTAATTATAAACAAATAGTATAATAACGCTCACATATCACTACATCACTAATCATAAACTTATCTAATAATGCTCACGCATAATACATCACTAATCATAAAGCATAAAACAATATGGATCACGCATGATTGCATCACTAATAATAAACCAATAATATAAGGGTCACAATTTAATCCATCACTAATAATAATAACATTATTATTAGTAATGGATTGATGTGTGACCCTTATATTGTTGGTTTATTATTAGTGATGCAATCATGCATGATCCATATTAATTAATTAATAACTGCATTAAAATGTTTGTAGTAAAACTGTACAGTTTGCTTGGTCGGCTAACATTAATCTTACCAAATAACGTTATAAAACATCTATAACAATCATATAATAATTATTTTGTAGTAATTAACGTTACTGTAATGGTTATTCATTTAAACCACCTTGTTAAAAAAATACTTACTTTGCAATTGGTTTCCGAATTAATCCGCAACGAAATCTTTTATTACATTACAAATCATGGATGGTATAAGGGCTCTGATTGGCCATAGCGTTCATTGTAACTCAGAACACGATTGGCTGCCTTAACCAAGAATAGGGTGAATCTTGGTTCCAGCTCACAAAGTGATTGGCCGGTGTGACCAAGAATAACCACGACTTACAAGTGGCAGTATGAGCTAACCGGCCACTTACTGCCAAGCTTAATAAAAGTCTTCCAGTTGGTACTGCCCAGGCTAAAGAAAAAAAATATATAAAAAAAAAATTATAAAACGGCCTTGCCAGAAAGTAGCAGAATGTCAATACAAGGCGGTGGCAATGTGCATTGATTTCTGAGTAACTCATCATTCGGCATGCAGGGCTCCTCACACGTTTACTGGAGCAGGACCAGGTAGGGCCTTCAGTCACCTGCCCCTTGTGCACAAAATAGAACAACAGCACTGTTTTACAACCACGGGATCGAACCAGGGACCTTTAGATCTTCAGTCTAACGCTCTCCCAACTGAGCTATTTCAACTGCCTTTTCACAAGTATCCTGCAGCATTCATGTCTGTGAGACTAAGCAGAATCCTGAAATGCCTCTGAGGCCTTAAAGGGTAAAATTTTAGCCAGTACGGGGATCGAACCCACAACCTTGGTGTTATTAGCACTACGCTCTAACCAACTGAGCTAACAGGCCACTTTCTGCCATGTTTGCTAAAAAGCTCAGAGTAACTGTCATTTTCTTCAAGAGATAAGAATGCTATTCCAGCTTTTTTTGTGCGGTGCTGGTAAAAAAAACAAGGTCCCACCAAGATTTGAACTCGAATCGCTGGATTCAGAGTCCAGAGTGCTAACCATTACACCATGGAACCTCAAGTCTTCTGCTTGGTGCTGCTCGGGCTAAAGAGAAAATAATGTAAAAAAGAAAACGGCCTTTCCAGAAAGTAGCAGAATGTCAATACAAGGCAGTGCCAATGTGCATTGATTTCTGAGTAACTCGTCATTCGACATGCAGGGCTCCTCACACGTTTACTGGAGCAGGACCAGGTAGGGCCTTCAAAAGAAAAGCGCACTATTCCAGGCATTTTGACGACTAAACGGCAGGCAGGGCAAAGAGGCCACCACAGAGCAAATGTGATCTTTTTTTTCTATTTTGACCACGTCGAAAATCGCCAATTATTGATTGCTTTGAGGGAAATTAGCTCATGGTTAAGCGCTCGCTTTGCATGGGAGAGGTAGCGGGAACAATGACTGCATTCTCCACCTCTGTTTTCATGCCTTTTTACATTGGCTTTTATTGCAAAGCTGGTGGCACCTTGAGGGTTTAAAGCGAAACTACTTACGTCAGCTTTGCCGGTTTCTGTGTAGTACATATCATTGCAACCCTTCAGAAGCCCTATCAAGTCACAGTTTTCTTTTATTCAGCAGCGTGTCCGCAGTGGGACATCAAAGCGCTAAATACATAGCATTATAGAGTGCTGTCGATCAGGCCATTGGAATCATCGCCAGAAGCAACGTGACCATCTGGGTGGAAGATAGTGTTTTGGTCAAGTGGAAGCAGGTGGACTTAAGGGTGAAGCAGCTAGGCTTTTTGGGTGACTTTCAGTCACCTGACCCTTGTGCACAAAATAGAACAACATCACTGTTTTGCCGAATCCCAGGATCGAACCAGGGACCTTTAGATCTTCAGTTTAACGCTCTCCCAACTGAACAATTTCAGTTGCCTTTTCACAAGAATCCTGCAGCATTCGTGTCTGTGAGACTAAGCAGAATCCTGAAATGCCTCTGAGGCCTTAAAGGGTAAAACTTTGGCCAGTACGGGGATCGAACCCGCGACCTTGGCGTTATTAGCACCACGCTCTAACCAGCTGAGCTAACAGGCCACTTTCTGCCATGTTTGCTAAAAAGCTCAGAGTAACTGTCATTTTCTTTAAGAGATAAGAATGCTATTCCAGCTTTTTTTGTGCGGTGCTGGTAAAAAAAACAAGGTCCCATCGAGATTTGAACTCGGATCGCTGGATTCAGAGTCCAGAGTGCTAACCATTACACCATGAACCTCAAGTCATCTGCTTGGTGCTGCCCGGGCCAAAGAGAAAATAATGTAAAAACAAAAAAAAAAAAGAAAACGGCCTTGACAGAAAGTAGCAGAATGTCAATACAAGGCAGTGCCAATGTGCATTGATTTCTGAGTAACTCGTCATTCGGCATGCAGGGCTCCTCACACGTTTACTGGAGCAGGACCAGGTAGGGCCTTCAAAAGAAAAGCGCACTATTCCAGGCATTTTGACGACTAAACGGCAGGCAGGGCAAAGAGGCCACCACAGAGCAAATGTGATCTTTTTTTTCTATTTTGACCACGTCGAAAATCGCCAATTATTGATTGCTTTGAGGGAAATTAGCTCATGGTTAAGCGCTCGCTTTGCATGGGAGAGGTAGCGGGAACAATGACTGCATTCTCCACCTCTGTTTTCATGCCTTTTTACATTGGCTTTTATTGCAAAGCTGGTGGCACCTTGAGGGTTTAAAGCGAAACTACTTACGTCAGCTTTGCCGGTTTCTGTGTAGTACATATCATTGCAACCCTTCAGAAGCCCTATCAAGTCACAGTTTTCTTTTATTCAGCAGCGTGTCCGCAGTGGGACATCAAAGCGCTAAATACATAGCATTATAGAGTGCTGTCGATCAGGCCATTGGAATCATCGCCAGAAGCAACGTGACCATCTGGGAGGAAGATAGTGTTTTGGTCAAGTGGAAGCAGGTGGACTTAAGGGTGAAGCAGCTAGGCTTTTTGGGTGACTTTCAGTCATCTGACCCTTGTGCACAAAATAGAACAACATCACTGTTTTGCCGAATCCCAGGATCGAACCAGGGACCTTTAGATCTTCAGTTTAACGCTCTCCCAACTGAACAATTTCAGTTGCCTTTTCACAAGAATCCTGCAGCATTCGTGTCTGTGAGACTAAGCAGAATCCTGAAATGCCTCTGAGGCCTTAAAGGGTAAAACTTTGGCCAGTACGGGGATCGAACCCGCGACCTTGGCGTTATTAGCACCACGCTCTAACCAGCTGAGCTAACCGGCCACTTTCTGCCATGTTTGCTAAAAAGCTCAGAGTAACTGTCATTTTCTTTAAGAGATAAGAATGCTATTCCAGCTTTTTTTTTGTGCGGTGCTGGTAAAAAAAACAAGGTCCCATCGAGATTTGAACTCGGATCGCTGGATTCAGAGTCCAGAGTGCTAACCATTACACCATGAACCTCAAGTCATCTGCTTGGTGCTGCCCGGGCCAAAGAGAAAATAATGTAAAAACAAAAAAAAAAAAGAAAACGGCCTTGACAGAAAGTAGCAGAATGTCAATACAAGGCAGTGCCAATGTGCATTGATTTCTGAGTAACTCGTCATTCGGCATGCAGGGCTCCTCACACGTTTACTGGAGCAGGACCAGGTAGGGCCTTCAAAAGAAAAGCGCACTATTCCAGGCATTTTGACGACTAAACGGCAGGCAGGGCAAAGAGGCCACCACAGAGCAAATGTGATCTTTTTTTTCTATTTTGACCACGTCGAAAATCGCCAATTATTGATTGCTTTGAGGGAAATTAGCTCATGGTTAAGCGCTCGCTTTGCATGGGAGAGGTAGCGGGAACAATGACTGCATTCTCCACCTCTGTTTTCATGCCTTTTTACATTGGCTTTTATTGCAAAGCTGGTGGCACCTTGAGGGTTTAAAGCGAAACTACTTACGTCAGCTTTGCCGGTTTCTGTGTAGTACATATCATTGCAACCCTTCAGAAGCCCTATCAAGTCACAGTTTTCTTTTATTCAGCAGCGTGTCCGCAGTGGGACATCAAAGCGCTAAATACATAGCATTATAGAGTGCTGTCGATCAGGCCATTGGAATCATCGCCAGAAGCAACGTGACCATCTGGGAGGAAGATAGTGTTTTGGTCAAGTGGAAGCAGGTGGACTTAAGGGTGAAGCAGCTAGGCTTTTTGGGTGACTTTCAGTCACCTGACCCTTGTGCACAAAATAGAACAACATCACTGTTTTGCCGAATCCCAGGATCGAACCAGGGACCTTTAGATCTTCAGTTTAACGCTCTCCCAACTGAACAATTTCAGCTGCCTTTTCACAAGAATCCTGCAGCATTCGTGTCTGTGAGACTAAGCAGAATCCTGAAATGCCTCTGAGGCCTTAAAGGGTAAAATTTTGGCCAGTACGGGGATCGAACCCGCGACCTTGGCGTTATTAGCACCATGCTCTAACCAGCTGAGCTAACCGGCCACTTTCTGCCATGTTTGCTAAAAAGCTCAGAGTAACTGTCATTTTCTTCAAGAGATAAGAATGCTATTCCAGCTTTTTTTGTGCGGTGCTGGTAAAAAAACAAGGTCCCGTTGAGATTTGAACTCAGATCGCTGGATTCAGAGTCCAGAGTGCTAACCATTACACCATGAACCTCAAGTCATCTGCTTGGTGCTGCCCGGGCCAAAGAGAAAATAATGTAAAAACAAAAAAAACAAAGAAAACGGCCTTGACAGAAAGTAGCAGAATGTCAATACAAGGCAGTGCCAATGTGCATTGATTTCTGAGTAACTCGTCATTCGGCATGCAGGGCTCCTCACACGTTTACTGGAGCAGGACCAGGTAGGGCCTTCAAAAGAAAAGCGCACTATTCCAGGCATTTTGATGACTAAACGGCAGGCAGGGCAAAGAGGCCACCACAGAGCAAATGTGATCTTTTTTTCTATTTTGACCACGTAGAAAATCGCCAATTATTGATTGCTTTGAGGGGAATTAGCTCATGGTTAAGCGCTCGCTTTGCATGGAAGAGGTAGCGGGAACAATGACTGCATTCTCCACCTCTGTTTTCATGCCTTTTTACATTGGCTTTATTGCAAAGCTGGTGGCACCTTGAGGGTTTAAAGCGAAACTACTTACGTCAGCTTTGCCGGTTTCTGTGTAGTACATATCATTGCAACCCTTCAGAAGCCCTATCAAGTCACAGTTTTCTTTTATTCAGCAGCGTGTCCGCAGTGGGACATCAAAGCGCTAAATACATAGCATTATAGAGTGCTGTCGATCAGGCCATTGGAATCATCGCCAGAAGCAACGTGACCATCTGGGAGGAAGATAGTGTTTTGGTCAAGTGGAAGCAGGTGGACTTAAGGGTGAAGCAGCTAGGCTTTTTGGGTGACTTTCAGTCACCTGACCCTTGTGCACAAAATAGAACAACATCACTGTTTTGCCGAATCCCAGGATCGAACCAGGGACCTTTAGATCTTCAGTTTAACGCTCTCCCAACTGAACGATTTCAGCTGCCTTTTCACAAGAATCCTGCAGCATTCGTGTCTGTGAGACTAAGCAGAATCCTGAAATGCCTCTGAGGCCTTAAAGGGTAAAACATTGGCCAGTACGGGGATCGAACCCGCGACCTTGGCGTTATTAGCACCATGCTCTAACCAGCTGAGCTAACCGGCCACTTTCTGACATGTTTGCTAAAAAGCTCAGAGTAACTGTCATTTTCTTTAAGAGATAAGAAT